AAAAAAAAAAAAAAGAAGCTGGTCTTCACCAGACACTGAATTTGCTAGTGCCTTACCTTGGACATCCAGTCCCAATTTATCATACTTTACTATATAACAGCCCAAATGGACTAAGACAGAACTTACTAATCTCAATAAATTTCATTGAAATGATTTTTTTGAATGGAAAGATTTATTTCTCCCCCAAATTTCAAAGATGAAACTTGTAATTGGTGGTTCTTAAACTTACTGTACATGTGAAAATACCTATAGACCTTCAAATAATGTAGATTCTGATTCTATGAGAGGCCTGAGAATCTGCAATTCTAAACAAGCTCCCAGACACTGCTAATGCTTCTGTCCCATATATAATACTTTGAAAAACAAGGTTCTTGATGAGTGTCTGCTATATTGTCAAACCTTTGGTTGCTCCTAGTTCTGCTATACAATAGCATCGCCTAGAAATATTTTTTGAAATACTGATACTAGCCACTCCCCATTCCTTCCTGCTAACCCAACAATCTTTTTTAAAAAGGAAGGTTATTTTTTGACAGCTCCCTGGATGATTCCATTGTACATCTAGTATTGAGAATTATTTATCTATATAAAAATTTTAAGGAAAAAGTATATGCTACAGTTAGAGCTAAATTAATACAGGTATAGTCAGTAATCTTTCAGTTAAAGAAAGATTTGTTTTGGTGGTGTTAAAATAAATCAAAGGTTAAAAACATTTAGTCAGCTTAACTACTTGATCAAAAATAAGAACAGTGGGGTTGGATTGGGGCTCAGCAGTAGAGTGCTTGCTTAGCATGTGCAAAGCCCTGGGTTCGAGCCTCAACATCACATAAAAATAAATAAAATAGGGGCTGGGGATTTGGCTCAAGCGATAGCACACTCGCCTGGCATGCGTGTGGCCCTGGTTTGATCCTCAGCACCACAGACAAAAGAAGATGTTGTGTCCGCCGAATACTAAAAAATAAATATTAAAATTCTCTCTCTCTTAAAAAAAAATGGCTCTTTCTTTAAATAAATAAATAAATAAATAAAGGTATTGTGTCCAACTACAACTAAAAATAAATATTAAAAAAATAAGAACAATGACAAAATATCCAGTTTGAGCTCAAAAATTTAAAAACTCTATAAAATCAAGTGACCTTTAAAAGCAATAGTTTAATGCTGAAACTTCCACAAATTATTTCTAAAATGTGAGCTACCAAAACAACTAAAAGGCTGACTAAACTCCTTAATATTTCATTGTTATTAAAAGTCCCTGTAAAGGGACACAGCCACATCAATGTTTATAGCAGCACAATTCACAATAGCTAGAATGTGGAACCAACTTAGATGAATGGATTTAAAAAATGTGGCATTTATACACAATGGAATATTTCTCAGCACTAAAAAATAACAAGTTCATGGCATTTGCAGGCAAATGGATGGCATTAGAGCAGATTATGCTAATTGAAGTTAGCCAATTCCTAAAAAACAAATGCCGAATGTCTTCTCTGATATAAGGGGGGTGACTCAAAATGAGATAGGGAGGAAGAGCTTGAGAAGAAGACTACCACTAAATAGGGAAGAGAGGTGGGAGGGAAAAAGAGGGAGAAGGGGAGTTGCATGGAAGATGGAAGGAGAACCTCATTCTTATACAGAATACATACATGATGTTGTAATGAGAAAAAGAAAAAAAAGTGTGTCACATTAGACTGGATAGAGAGAAAGGATGGGAGAGGAGGGGAGGGGTAGGGAGGAGAGGAAGGGCAGAAGAATAGACAATATGATTGATGTATGTACATTCCATGTATGTATTATATGTCAAAATACATTCTGCTGTCACGTATGACTAAAAAAATTTAAAATAAATCGTATGGTTAAAAAAAAAAAAAAAGTTCCTGTAGAGGGCTGGGGATACAGTTTGGGTAAAATGCATGCACAAGGCCATGGATTCAATTCTCAGCACCACAAAATAAATAAATAAAATAAAAAAATAAAAGTCCCTGTGGGGTCAGGTAGTGGCGCATGCCAGAGGTTCAGGCTGAGAAAGGAAGATCCAGGATCTCGAGTACAAAGCCAGCCTCAGCACAAAGCAACTCAATAAGACCCCTGTCTCTAAATAAAATACAAAAAATTGGACTGAGGATGTGGCTCAAGTGCCCCTGAGTTCAATCCCCAGAACACACACCCCCTGCCAAAAAAGTCCCTGTAGGAATTCAGCTTGACCTGACTAGAGCCATCTTAAAAGAACCATCATGATTGTTCTTGAATAACCCTCGTTTGTTTTTCCCACATAATTTTCCAGCACTCTATATATAGATAGAATGATAAGTGAAACTTTACAATGTGAGGACCCTGGTTTTTTAAGTGCCAGCAATATGTTTTAAATCCTCTATGTTAGTTTGAGATAAACCACGTACATTCTGAAGGGGATGGAGTCACTTTTGTCCTGACCCATAAGCCTGCTCTCTTTGCTTCATATCACAAAGATCTGTCTTGCTGCTGCCCAAGACAAACTCCTACACATAAGTCCCCTAATAAATCATACTCTGTGCAATCTTGGACCTGTCTGCCTCTTTCTTTGATTTCATGACATCTTGCAGCCAGTCTTATACACTCCGACCAAGTTTTTCTAGAATAGTCCTGGATAGATTAATTGCACAAGGAAAGCACACTTATAGTTTCTATTCTTTTTTTTTTCTTTTAATTTATTTATGTTTTTAGTTGTAGTTGGATACAATACTTTTGTTTTATTCATTTTTACATGGTACTGAGGATCAAACCCAGGGTCTCGAACATGCTAGGCAAGCACTCCACCGCTGAGCCATAACCCCAACCCCTCATAGTTCCTATTCTATAAAATATCTTGTTAAATATTTTAAGGTTCACACTGTGACTATGGACCTTAAAATTTTGTTTCTGATAGTCATAACTAAGAGCACTTGTCATACTTATCACACAAGTATTTTGTCTCCTTAGGAAAAGCATTACTAAGCCAGATGGATTGCAAGTTCAAAGCCAGCCTCAGCAACTAAAGAGGCCCTAAGCAATTTAGTGAGACCATGTCTCAAAAATTAAAAAATGAAAAAAGCTGGAGATGTAGCTCTGTGGTAAAGAGCCCCTCAGTTCAATACCTAGTACCAAAAAAAAAAAAAACAAAAAACAGGAAAACACATTACTGAAATTAATATTATATACTAAAACATCTTTCATATGCTCAAAATTCTTTATTCTTACCTGTCTATTGGAAAACCAGAATTTCCGTTCATGGTAAGCTGATAAGTAGAGAGCGTACATCATACCACTAGTAACTGCTGCAAGACAGCCAATGAAAATCTTTGCAAAACGTTGAAATAACACATCTGAAAAAACACATTAAAGATAATCAAAAGGTATATGTACCCTTGTTATGATGTAATGAAAATGGCATTCTAACTCAACGGTTTCTTTCCAAAAACTCATAATCCCTGTCTAATCATAAAAAAAAAAAATCAGATAAAATCCAATAAAGGAATATCTTACAATATACCTGACTAGTATTCCTAAAAACTGTTAATCATCAAAAACAAGAAAAGTTTAAGGAACTGTCATAGACAAGAGGAGCCTAATAAGACATGATAATTAAATGCAATGTAGTATCCTATATGAGAAAAAGAAAACAATATTAGGTAAAAAGAAGAACATTAGGTAAAAAAATTAAGGAAATTGGAATAAATTATAAGCTTTTATTAATATATACATAATGTATATATATATATACGTATCAATATTGCTTATTAATTCTAACAAATGTACAACATTAATGCAAACTGTTAAGAATAAGGTGAACTCCCTGTGTGAGAGGTTGAAATATGGGAACTTTGTACTCAGCTCAATTCTTCTGTAATCTAAACTGGTTTAAAAAATTAAAACCTAGGGTTGGGGTTGTGGCTCAGCAGCAGAGTGCTTGCCTAGCACTTGTTTTGATCCTTAGCACCACATAAAATAAATAAAATAAAGATACTGTGTCCAACTATAGCTAAAAAACTATTAAAAAATTAAATTAAATTTAAATTTAAATTAAAACCTATATATTGCAAGATGAAAAAGTTCTAGAGATCTGGTTCACAACAAGGTAAATAATTAACACTATAAAATCATAAACTTAAAAATGGTTAATACAGTAAAAATATTAACATCCATTAATTTAAAAAAAAAGATAAGAAACATAGGAGCCAATATCTAAAGAATACAGATTCATTCAGAATTACTCTTGAAATATTTTACTGACATCCTTTTTCCCTATTGAGAAATTTTTTTTTGAGAATAACTTATATATCATAAGCTGGGTACAATGGTGCATGCTATAATCCCAACGGCTCAGGAGGCTGAGGCAGGAGGATTTTAAGTTCAAAGCCAGCCTTAGCAAAAGTGAGGTGCTAAACAACTCAGTAAGACCCTGTCTCTAAATAAAATATAAAAAACGGCTGGTGATTTGGCTTAGTGGTTAAGCACTCCTGGGTTAAATCCCTGGTACCAATAAATACATACATAAGTACATAAATTACTCATATACTATAGACAGCAGCCCTCCACACACCTTTTTTTGGTACCTGGAATTGAACTCAGGGTACTGTATCACTGACTAAATCCCTTTTAAAATTTTGAGACGAGGTCTCACTAAGTTGCTTAGGGCCTCGCTAAATTGATAAGCTGGTCTTTAACTTGCAATACTGACTCAGCTTCCTGAGTTGCTGGGATTACAGGTGTGTACCACTGCACCAGGCTAAGCTACAGTCCTTTAAATTGAATAATTCAATGAGTTTTAATGACTATGTTTTAAAAAATCACATGCAACTGTTACATATATGTTGAAGACACAGCATAAAACACATTTGAATTTTGTACAGAGACAATTTCAATCCTGCTAGCTATAACCATTAAGTGCCTAAATCCCATGTTCTGTTACTCAATGAGCTATAAGTTTGTACAAATAAACTTCTTGATTTACTTGACTAGCTAAACCAAAATCATGGAGTTGAAACCGAAAGCCATGGTACACACCTGTCATTCCAGCTACTTGGGAGGCTAAAGCAGGAGGATTAGAAGCTCAAGGTCAACCTTAGCATTTATAAAACAGCAACTTACATTCTTGTCTCAAAATAAAAAATAAAAAGGGCTAAAGGATGTAGCTTGGTGGTAAAGCACCCCTAGTTTCAATCCCCAACACACACACACACACCAAAAAAAAAAAAAAAAAAAAAAAAATTAGGATTGGGAGTATATGTCAGTGGTTGCTTAGCATGTGTGAGGCCCTGGGTTTGATCCCAGAACCACAAAAAATAAATAAATGAATAAGTTTTTTAAAAATCCCTTAGCTTAAAAAAAAAAAAAAAAAAAAAGCCTTAGCTATTCTCTGAATGTTATTTCTCAAATAGAATAAATAGATGTCACTAAATTAAAAAGAATATTTTAAAAGTTTAAGAAACACTACCCAATATATCAAATATTACTGTAAGTATAACACAAATTGTTTTTAAAATTCCAATTTCTAACAGCATGTGTGCATCCTACTTCCAATAGCATTTGGCATGGTGCCTGGTACATGTTAAGATCATAGCAAATAGCAGCTATTATTACTGTGCTACAAAAGCATACTTACAAAAATATATGAAGTACTTAAAGCAATGTTGACAATATGAACTATAAAAACTTATAAAAAGGGCTGGGGTTGTGGCTCAGCAGTAGAGCACTCGCCTAGCGACATGCAAGGACCTGGTTTCGATCCTCAGCACCACATAAAAATAAATAAAATAAAGGTATTGTATCCAACTATAACTAAAAAATAAATATTAAAAAAAACTAATAAGAAAAAGTGTTTCAGGGCTGGGGATATAGCTCAGTTGGTGCTTTCCTTGTATGCACAAGGCCCTAGGTTCAAGCCCCACCACCACAAAAACAAACAAAAAAAGAAAAAGTGTTTCAAGATTTCTAAATGTGTACTTTCCTATTTTATTTGTTTTCAAGTCTTGAACAACAGGGGCTGGGGAATGCAGCTCAGTGGTATAGTGTTTGCCTTCTATGTGGAAGGCACCCTGGGTTTGAGCCCCAGCACAACAATGACAACTAGAAGACTTACAAAATAGCAAATTAATCATATTTATTAGAGGCTATTAAAAAATCTATATTCAACCAATCTCTATACTTGAATGCCTTAATACTAAATATTTTGCTTTTGTAAGGAATCAAGATGGAAGAAACACCAAATTTTCAGTGTTTGATATAAGTGTATGATTTACAGAAAATAAAGAGCTCTAAGGCCCTGGATATTATCTTTAAAAATTACAATTTTAATTAAAAAATTGAAAAGTAAAGGATCTGACTTCCATTTAAATTGTCAGTCACAAAGCAGTCAATATAATTTCTATGCTATTTCCTTCATTTGTAAAACGGTGATCAAGCACAGAAAAGGAGAAAAAGATGATATACATGTCAACATCAATACAATTGAGCACTGATAAACAATATACCGTAAAAGTGAATAACATTAAAAGAAACACAGGACTCAATCTCACAAAAAGTGTTAAAAACGAAGTAGGTACACAGAAAAAAAGATAAGCAATACTTATGCAAAAAACAACAAAAAAAAATTCTTTTGATCCTGGGGAGCAAACCCAGGGCCCGGCACATGCAAAACTTATGATCTTTCACTAAGCCATCTCCCCACTCTTATGCCAAAATGTTAAAAGTAGTTCTAGTGAAATTATGGATATATTTTATTTTTATTGTTGTTTTCTCTTTGGTTCACATTTACTACCCTATTGTATAGTCAGGGCAAAATACTACTTTGTAGTGGATCTCTGAATTTATTTAATTTTTCTTATAGTGTATTTTCCAATTTTTTTAAAGTGACTATTCTATGTGTCAGCTTTGCTGACATAACACTAAAAACAACCTCAAACCACCAGTGCCTTCCAAAATAAAGGCTTTTTTCTTATTTATGTTATAATGGATTTCCAAGTTAGCAATAACTTTATTTTAGGCTGCCACTCAATTTCAGACTTCATGTTACCTCTGGCTCTTTTTATATCTGTTTTTTCAGGGGATTGAGAGGTGGATACTAGGGATTGAACTCAGGGACACTCAACCACTGAGCCACATTCCCAGCCTCATTTTCTATTTTATTTAGAGACAGGGTCTCACTGAGTTGCTTAGTGCCTCGACATAGCTGAGGTTGGCTTTGAACCCGTGATCCTCCTGTCTCAGCCTCCTGAGCCACTGGGATTACAGGAGTGCACCACTGCATCTAGCTCTTCCTTTTATCTTCTTCTGAGTTCCATACTAGAATCAGTCCCTAATTAGGGACATACTGTTTTCACAACAGAGGAACAGAGGAAAGTTGTCAGGGTTTCTGCTCAGTACTAGTATACTCACATTCCATTGGCCCAGGCCAGTCACATCATTCCTCTGACAAATGGACAGGGAAGTACACTGTGCCTTAGAGAGGCAGTCTGAATCACATGGCAACAAAAGGGATCGTACAATTCACTTTTAGAGCAGGACAAAAACATTAAAAAATAATAAAAAGGTAACCAACAATCTGCAATTTCTTTACTTCAAAGAGCATAATAAATCATTCCCTCTCAGGAAATCTAAGAGCAGCTTACTCACTATGCTTTCTGGATAAAAACAGTAAGAGACTAATATGTCATTTTAAAACCTAAAGGAGCCAAATATGCCAGGGTGCAGTAGTACACACCTGTTATCCCAGAGGTTCAGGAGGTTGAGACAAGAGGATCACAGGTTCAAAGCCAGCCTCAGTAACTTAATGAGGCCATAAGCAACCTAGTGAGACCCTGTCTCAAAAAAAA